GCTATTGTAGAAGTTAAAGACTTTAAAACAAACTAGCAATCAAGACAGGATATCAAGATGCAAATGCCTGGTTGGAATGGATCAAATATTCCACGTGCATGTTAAACAAAAGCAATTGTTATGTTATATGCATGGCATCCCCTTTACACTAGGATGGTCCTCCAGCTGACCAGAAATGGGCTGTATGGTAGCTCTTTTCCAAGACTCTACAGCCTGGGGTAACAAGTCATGCCAAGCTTTCTCTCTGCTATATCCTGAAGTTCAACGCCCTGTGGGTCAGTCCCCAAAGACCATCCAGCTTCCATCTCCGGATACTAAGTTCACTCGCAACAAGGAGGAAAGTTAGCATTCCTTGGAGCCCTGAAGGGATGCAGTGAGTTAAGACTTTTCAAGAGCTTACTAATCAATCAGCCCTTGTTCATCCCCGAGCGATATGTGGTGATATTGTGGTGGACTTTTACTGGACACTACAAGCAGCACTTGTGCTCTAGTCCAACTGGCTATCCCTTTCACCCTGGCATTTCATCAACCAGAGGAAGGAAAAATACAACCTCATAAAGTAAGAGAAGCCCATTATGGGTCTTTCAACTCTCACATCTATTTAGATAGAATTGGAGTCCCACAAGGAGTACCAGATAAATTTAAAGCCCAAGATCAAATAGCTGCAGGATTTGAGTCAATATTTTAGTGGGTGACAATTAATAAAAACGTAGATTGGATAACTTACATTTATTACAACCAAAAGTGATTTATTAACTACACTAAAGAAGCTGTTAAAGGAATAACTGAGCGATTAGGGGTGGCTAGCCAGATGGCTTTGGAAAGCAGAATAGCCTTAGACGGAATATTAGCAGAAAAAGGAGGAGTTTGCATCATGATTAAAACTCAATGTTGTACCTCCATCCCAAATAATACAGCCCCTAATGGAAGTATAACAAGGCACTGCACGGTCTACCTGCTCTATCCAATGAGATAGCCAACAACTCAGGGATAAACGACCCCTTCGCAGGGCAGCTATAAAAATGGCTCAGTAAAGAAAGGAACCATGTCTTCAATTCTCACTTCTCTCACAGCTGTAATGGGTGTACTCATCCTTGTCGGGTGTTGTGTCATACCATGCATCCATGGGTTGTGCGCGAGACTCATAGAAACAACACTTACCAAAACCACCCTTAACTATCCTCCACCTTATTCAGAGAAGCTTCTTCTTTTAGAAAATCAAGCAGAACAACAAAACCAAGATGTATTTAGGAAGTTTGAAGAGAAAGAGCTGTAAGGAAAATTCAAGAGGAGGGAATTGTTGGGTACAAAGAGTTCTAAATTTCTCTTCAAAGAATCAATATGTCAATATGTTCCATTCTTTGTCCTCCATTTTGAAGTTTAACTTCCTTGTAGTTTCAGTTAACAACCTTCTCCACCAGTTCTAATTAGTAGTTCACATCTGTTCCCCCAGTCCCCTGCTCTGTCCTGACTCATCCCAGTCACCTGCTCCAGTCACTTGCCCCAGCCACCTGCTCCGTTACCTGCTCCAGTCATCTGCTTTGACCTAGGTCACCCCTGGCTACCTGCTCTGACCTGCACATAACCATCCTTCCAGCCAAACTACCCACCCCACCACTCTGGCTCATACCCCTGTTCTCTTTAAAATAGCCAATCGGAATTAGTCTAGACTATGCAGTCTAACCCTACCCTAGCCAACAAGGGAATGACACAGCAGTAAGGGTGACCTCCATCAGGAATAAGTACCACTCCCCCTCCCTTGTCCAGGTGTGTGCTCACCGTTGCCCCATTCATCATGAGGTGCACCCTTCTATAGAAGTAAACTTCTGTGCTGAGAGGATTTATCTTTGAGTGCTTTTTTTTTTTTTTTTGCAGCAATGAAATTTTACATATAACAGGAAGCCAAGTCAAAAGAATCACTTAAGCCCAGTAGTTCAAGGTTGTAGTGACCTATGATGGTACCACTGCACTTCAGTGTGGATGACAGAGAAAGACTACGTCTCTAAAAAAAATTTTTAATAAGTAAATAAAAATATAACATCTAAAAATATATTTATGACCTTGGACTAGATTTATTAAAATTGATTAAGCAAGAAAATATCACTAAGTATAAAAAAAAATAATAAATTCAACTATATTAAAATTAAGACTTCAGCTCATCAAAAGGCCATAAAAAAGTAAAAACACAAGACACAAATGAAGAGAAATATTTGTAATTTAATATAACTGGCAAAATATGACTCTCCACAATATATAGAAACCCTTAAAATTTGATAAGAAGACAGCTCAAAACAAAAATGGGCAACAGATATGAATAGTCCTTTTACTAGAGAAATGTGAATGGCAAATAAGTGTAATTAAAGATGTTTAGGCCAGGTATAGTGGTTCATGCCTGCACTTTGGGAGACCAAGACAGGAGGATCACTTGAGGCCAGGAGTTCAAGACCAGTCTGGGAAACATAGGGAGAGACACTGTCTATAAAAAAATCTAAAAATTAGCTGAAGCTGGTGGTGTGCACCTGTACTCAGCTACTCAGGAGGCTGAGGCAAGGGGATTGCTTGAGCTCAGGAGTTGAAGGCTGCAGTGAGCTACGCTCCTGTCACTGAACTCCAGCCTCGGTGAAAGAGCAAGACTCTATCTCAAATAAATAAATAAATAAAAATATGCTTAAACTTCATAACAAACTAGGAAATACAAAATAATATCACAATGAGATATTTTCCAGCCACTAAATGGGCAAAATGAAGACGTTGGAAATGCCAAGAGCTAGTGAGAAAGTCAAGCAATGGGAACTTATATACTATGCACTACTTGCTAATGGGAATCTAAACTGTTCCAATCACTTTGGGAAATAATTCAGCCTTCTCTTGTAAAATATAACATACAGTACCATACAGCATTATGTATATTCCAGAGAATCTCTTCTACCTGTGGCCCAGGAGACATGTACAATAAATTTTTATATATTCACAGAATGCAACTGTATGTATAGTAAATGTGAATAGACTGTAGCAAGTTGTCACAGCATGCATAAATCCCAACAAACAACATTGGGTAAAAAGAGCAAATTGCAGAAGACTACACACAACATGATGTCATTTTTATAAAATATATACACACACTATATGTACATGTGTATCATACATATGTGGTAGAACTATTTAACACACACAACATGGTCATACAATTACATTGGGCAGGGAGTTGGAAAATAAAGGAAGTAGAACACATGTGCCTTCAATGCTATCGATAATTTAGAATAATTGGCTAGGTCTGGGAATAGTGTGGGAATTGGACAGATTGTAGGAGTTGGAGCAGTGACGGGGGAAAAATGTGGTTTGGTAAGTTAGGTTCAAACTCCAAATCACGGGTGCTCATGTTATTATTTGCTTTACATGCACATTGTACATACTCTTAGTTATCAAATATTATGTAATAATAGAATTTAAAGAATATTTAAGGAGCAGGAAGTGTTTATGACATAATGCTAAACGAAAAGAGCAGAACATAGAACTCTGTATGTAGTATATGCATCTGTTTCATTTTAAAACAAGCACACACCTCATTTATGAGTATTTGTATACAGAGAAAAAAGATTGGATAACACCAAAATATTATGAGCAAATATCTCTGGATATTGGGCTAGCATGTGATTTTTTTTCTTTATACTTTTCTGAATGTTCCACATATTTCACAAGGGCATAAATATATATTAATTTTACAACCATAAAAATTGTGCTGTGTGTCGTGAGTCATGCCTGTAATCCTAGCACTTTGGGAGGCTTAAATGGGAGGGTTGCTTCAGTCCAGGAGTTCAAGAGCAGCCTGGGTGAAATAGTGAGACCCCGTCTCTACAAAAAATAATAATAATTTTTTAAAATAATAAATACATAAAATATAAAGTCTTTTTAAAAATTTCAGTTTGATAGAGATTAAACTACTTTTTACTAAAAATTCTGTCAATGTTCTTATTTTTAACAGTCTAGATCTTAAACTGGGTGGTGAATCCAGAAATGTTCATTATGTTATTCTTTATACCCTTATATATATGTGACGTATTTCATGATGTTGTTTTAAAGTTGCTATTAAAAGTAACTACATGGTTGGAGATTTTTTTTTTTAAGCAGGATTAGTGGAATGGTTAGAGCAAAGCACTCTTTGTCTAAGCAAACACGGGGAGTGTCAATCTGTAGCTTTAGTCATAGGTAGCAATACGGCCTTACTGGCTGTATAGCACTTACTGAATTTTTCTTGACAATTCTAAAATCTGAGAGTGGTGCCAGATAAAATTGCATCAGGAAATATGGAAGGAATGGTTTCTTCTGACTTCAAGAAAACTAATTTTATATTTCTGTAACATAAGACAGGTTTTCTTTTTTTCAAGAATTATCCTCCACTCTGAATAACTATAAATTTCAGTTTGTTGAATACATCAAAATCATTAGTACATCAAAATTCTCTTAAATATTTTATAGTAATCTTTCTAAAAATTCTTGTCTTACTGTACTTGCCTAGAGTTGCAAAAAATGTAGTGTTCGCATTAATATTAAAAGCACTTTCAACGAAATTTCTAAACAGGAGCCAACCCTCTGAGTTGATATTTCAAAGCAGTATCTATAAACAGTAATTTGTTCCAATTTCAGATGATATCAAGCTGGGAACCTAGAGAACTGCCCCCACCTCCCCGCCCCAGGATCTAGGGAATGGTAGTCAGGTCCTAAGCTTCAGAAAAAACGAGGAGCGGAGTACGGTCTTACAAGCTTTTCCCCCTTTATTCGATATGTTGTCATGCGGGAAGGGATTTATGGGCGTCTCACGAGAGATCAAGTGCGGACCAGACCTGACTCTAGCCTGGGGCCCGACCTCACCTCTGCTCTGCATCTGCTTGCCACAGCACGGAAAACCACAACCCCCGAAAGGCCTTAGGGGGCTGGGGCGGGGCCATTCCGTCTATTGGTTGTTCCGCAGTCCCAGCGAAGCGATCATTGGCCAGATCCAAGGATGACTGCTAGAGGGAATTAGAGCAGAGCAGGGGCCAAAAGGGCAAGTCGGGGGGTTTAGGTCAGAACTCCAGCGGCAGCCTGGCAGCAGGAGCTCGAGAGAAGCATGGCTCAGCGGTGTGTTTGCGTGCTGGCCCTGGCGGCTGTGCTGCTCCTACTTTTCGCCACCGACTGCAGATCGATGGGCCTGAGGAACCAGGAGCATCAGAGGGCGTCGCGAATCCCTTCTCAGTTCAGCAAAGAGGAGCGCGTCGCGATGAAAGAGACACTGAAAGGTGAACCCGGCTCCCTTTGGCCCACCTATGCTCAGATGTGCGTCTCTCCCTCCCCAGGTCAACCCGTGACTCCCCGCTTCCACCTCAAAGGTTCCGCTACTGAAGCTGGAGCCCTGCCACATACCCCAGCCCGGCCCCAACACCCTTCCCAGCAACTGTGCCCCGGCTTGGGGACGCCACACTTCCCCATACCTGGCCTGAAACTCTGGTGTACCCTGCCTAACCTGGAAGCTCCAGCTTCACCCCTCTTAGCGTGACCACCGTCCCCTCTCTCCCCTGCTTGCCTGGAGTATTACACCAGCTTTCATTTGTACAGCACTTTTAACTAGTGAAATTTGCATGCCTGTTAAATTACTGCAGTATGGTAAAATAAGATTAAATGATCTTAGTCTTATCTACAGAGGCGAGAAATTGAGGCCTAGGTCAGCTAAATGATCTTCCCCAGGGCCCACAGCAAAGAACGAGCACTGGGTGACAACATCTAGTGCCTGTTGGACTCGCTGGGATCAGATGGCACTAGAGAAAGGGAATGGAGTGTTTCTGGGGTGTGGGAATCTTCCTAATTCTCAATCATAATTGAAGAACATGTCTCCCTCAGACCTCTAATCCTGACCAAAAACTCATTCCCCTTCTGAATCGGCGTTTTCCAGGAAAGTTTCTGTTGAGTGCTAGATCCTATGGGATGAAGTCCTTCTTTACCATTCAGCTTAGCTCCAGTCATTTGCGTTTCATTAAGTAAGGGATTAAGAGAAACCGCCTGCATAAATATAGGCAGATGCTGGGACCAAAAGCTAACGTCAATGGTTGGTTATAGATTGTGCATATGCTAGAGTGACAGGCCTGGGAGGCAGAGTAGGGCTTTCCCAAAGCATAGTATAAATAGTCCTCTAAAAGGCAGCCACTCGAAGTCTCTGCACAGAAGAGAACAAAAGTTATGTTAAGAACCTAGAATAGGGACCTCGTAGCAACACAGCTTAGAACTCTGAGCAAGGAACAGAACACCTGAGCTCAGATCCTGGGTCTGCCCTTGAGTGGGCACTTGAATCTTTCTGAACCTCATCTTTCCCATCTATCTGGTGGGCTGTGCTGTTGCAGGGTTGATCCTCAGCAAAACTGAGGGAGTTTGTCTTTCAGAGACCCTTCCTGGATGTCAAGCTGCCTCAGGTGAATTTGTTCTCACTGTGTTCTTCTTGGAGAGTGCTCTAATTCAATATTCTCATACCTGCCCAGTGCTGTTTGTCTTTGATCATGGAACTCTTTAAAGCCTGAAAGACTCAAAGGGATGAGCCTAGCAAAGGTTCAGGATTTGAGACAACTGAGTAGGGAGGATGAGATCGTTTTAGGACTGAGGAAGTTGTCTGGGGGCACTTGACTCTTTAAATCCACCCCTTCCCAGGCATTATATGCCCAAAAAGCTAGCCTTGGTTGAGAGATTAGTGAGACTCTGCATGAGGAATAAGCCTTTACACACAAAAACACACAAGCCTCATTGATGTAGGGACCCAGGACAGTGGGTGCCTTGAGAATGATGAAGCTTGGATTCATCAGAAGTGGTGATTTCAGAGGTAGAGTGAGGCCTTAGGAAGAAATTTATAGTACCTTCCCCTCAAGACCAGGGTCCAAAAATCCATTTCTCCCCTAACTTAGACCGTATTTGCCTTTAAGAACCACATCAGCCTAATCAAACCCAGAAGACATGGGTTTAAATCTCTAGTCTACGTGTTGCTTGGGCAGCTCACCTAACCTCTCTAAGCTTTTTCCTTCACCTTTGAATTAGAAAAAATAGTGCCTACCTCACATTAGTGTTTTGCCCTCTGCAATACGATAATGAATACAAAAGAAATTTTCATGCACAGAGGACTGTAGAAAAACAATGATTAATTTATTATTTATTTATTTATTTATTTATTTATTTATTTATTTATTTATTTTTGAGACGGAGTTTCGCTCTTGTTACCCAGGCTGGAGTGCAATGGCGCGATCTCGGCTCACCGCAACCTCCGCCCCCCGCAACCTCCGCCCCCCGCAACCTCCGCCCCCTGGGTTCAGGCAATTCTCCTGCCTCATCCTCCTGAGTAGCTGGGATTACAGGCACGCGCCACCATGCCCAGCTAATTTTTTGCATTTTTAATAGAGACGGGGTTTCACCATGTTGACCAGGATGGTCTCGATCTGTTGACCTTGTGATCCACCCGCCTCGGCCTCCCAAAGTGCTGGGATTACAGGCTTGAGCCACCACGCCCGGCCTAATTTATTTTTAATCTTTCGTCTCTAATAATTTGATTCTGACAGGTGCCATCCAGATTCCAACAGTGTCTTTTGGCCCTGAGGAGTCCAATACTACGGCCCCGGCTGAGTTTGGAGAATACATTTGTAAAGGTCAGCTGCAAATCGGGAGCAAGGGGTGGGTGGTAGAAATAGCAATAGCGATACAGTTCTTTTACAAAGTAATAAAGAAGTTTATTTTGTGACTTCTCAGAGATTAGTCTAATTTCCATGGGCAGCATACAGACTGTAGATTTGCTCTTGGAAAAAACTAAGCCACATATATAGGGCAAAGATCGAGAGCTCATCCAGCCATTGCGTTAGAGTATAAACTCTCTCAATCTTTTCCCTACATATGTGTCATTCAATAAATATTAACTCATCAAAAGGTAGAACTAGGGTTTCCTTCTACCTGTGCAGCTGCCCAGACCTATGCTCCATGTTCCTCCCACCCCTACCTCCTTACACAAACCCCCACACCTACCTCCTTACACACACCCCCACACCTGTAGGTATACATTCCACCTACTCGGGCCTACTCCAGATTCGTTACTAACACGTTTCTAGGCCTCTAGGCAGTCAACAACTTTGAGCTATAACATCTGTCCCTTTCCCTCATCCCCACCACCCACAGAGTACAGAGCTATAGAAGGATGGATCAGAGGAATAAAGGATTCTTGGAACTCCTCCCTCCCCTTATTAAAATCTCATAAAAAGTAATGAGATTACATTCCTAAATCTAATTAAAAACAGCCCCTCCAAAGTTATCGGAGGTGGGAGAAGCAGGCCTAGGAGCAGCAAGTAACCCCCTCTCTAACACCCTAGGACAAATGTCTCTGGGATTAGCCATGCATGGTGGCAAGCACCTGTAGTCCTAGTTACAGGAGGCTGAGGTGGGAGAATCGCTTGAGTCCAGGAGTTCAAGGCTACAGGGAACTATGAATGTAGTTCATAAGTGCTCGAGCATAAGTGAGAGAGCAAGTCCCTGTCTCTGAAAAAAGAGAAAGGAAGGCAAAAACAAAAATGAATGGCTCAGGGATTAGTGCCCAGTAGCCAAGCTAAGGCCAGCCTGAAAAGGCTGGAAGTGTTTATTAAATAGGAGATAAATATAGGAAAATACGCTGGGCGCGGCGGCTCATGCCTGTAATCTCAGCACTTTGAGGCCAAAGCAGGGAGATCACATGGTCCAGAGATCAAGATCTCCTGGCCAACATGATAAAACACCATCTCTACTAAAAATACAAAAATTAACTGGGCATGGTGGTGCACACCTGTAGTCTCAGCTACTTGGGAGGCTAAGGCAGGAGAATCACGTGAACCCAGGTGGTGGAGGTTGCAGTGAGCTGAGATCACGCCACTGCACTCCAGCCTGGTGACAGAGATAGACTCTACCTAAAAAAAAAAATAAAATAAAATAAAATAAATGTCTAGTGACAGTAAAGTAGATAAGCTAGGTAACAAGATAAAACCATATTCTTCTTCAGTTTTTGGGTAACCGCAGAAGTATATGTGAATTCTTCCAACAAAGGTAGATAGAGATAAAATGTATTTCTCCTGTGCAGCTAAAGTCACTTGAATAATTGACCCTAGGAGCATCTACACCTGCACACAGAAGTATGACCTTGTGTTAAAAAGAATAATCTTTATGTTCACATAGCATATACACTAGATGTATTATTTTTTAAAAAGAAAAATGTCTCTGAATTTTAAAATATAATATTTAAATATAATTTGGTTAACAGGGCCTACTAATTTAACATAATAATTTAATATAATTTGGTTAATGAAGCCTACTCTAGTTAAAATTTAATGCATACCTCATCTTCATAGCTCTTTAACACGTTCTCGCGATAGCATGTTATCGGTCAGACCAAGCCTGAGCTTGAGATATTGACCATCTTAATAGTGAGTCTTTTTTTTATTTTATTTTGAGATGGAGTTTCATTCTTGTCGCCCAGGCTGGAGTGCAATAGTACAATCTAGGCACACTGCAACCTCTGCCTCCCGGGTTCAAGCAATTCTCCTGTCTCAGCCTCCCGAGTAGCTGGGATTACAGGCTTGTGCCACCACACCTGGCTAATTTTTATATTTTTAGTACAGATGGGGTTTCGCTATGTTGGCCAGGTCGATCTCGAACTCCTGACCTCAGGTGATCCACCCATCTCAGCCTCCCAAAGTGCTGGGATTGCAGGCATGAGCCACCATGCCTGGCCTTAATGGTGAGACTTGATTTGTGTGTTATTACGTACTAATAGCACATTGAAATATAGGGAAGACAAATTTCAAAGATTGTCCAGGTAGATCAGGAATCAGACTAGCTTTGTCTTAGAAGGCTTCCTAAAGAAGGATGAATGTTTTAAAAAAAGGCAGCGGGGGGGGGGGGGGTACAGGAAGCACAACATGGTAGGAAAACCTAAGGAAACTGTTAATCCTGGTTTTCTCTCCCTGCCCTTTTTGCCTCTAGTCTTTCCTACAGTGCTCAGCACCAGCTTTATCCAGCATGAAGTCATGGGAGAGTATAGCCACCTGTTCACTGTCCAAGGCTCAGCCCCCAGCTTACAGCCCTGCCTGCTGCTGGCTCACTTTGATGTGGTTCCCGCCCCTGCAGAAGGCTGGGAGGTGCCCCCGTACTCTGGGTTGGAGCATGATGGCTTCATTGACGGTTGGGGCACACTGGATGACAAGAACTCTGTGATGGTCTGAGAAGCAACGTTCCCTCTGCCTTAGGGCCATAAAGATCAATTCAGGATGGGGGTGCTTGGCTGACCCTGGGAGGTGGGAGATAATGGTAGAAAGAACCTTGGCTGCAGGAGACCTGGGTTCCAGCCATCAATTTGTCACTTCCCTTCTCTGGGCCTTGATTTCTCAACTATAAATAGGGATTGGAGTAGATGGTCCCCAGGGACCCTTTCAGTTCTGACACTGGTGTGTGTATGCTCTTCTCCCTGCAATAAGGGTTCTGTTTCTCCACATTAGGCCTCTTGTACCATTTGAGTCTGTTCTCCTTCAAGAGAATCTATCAGATCCTCATCCCACCAGCCCTGATGTAGGCAACTAAATGTCACTGATATCCTGGTACTCCCACCTAAATAATGTCTTTCTGCTCTTCCATTGTACTTCTGAACCCCAGGCATTCCTGCAGGCCTTGGAGCTCCTGCTGATCAGGAATTACATCCCTCAAAGATCTTTCTTCATTTCCCCAGACCATGATGAGGAGGTGGAGTCTCCTTACCCTATACTTATCTCTGTCCTCTGTTGGAGAGAGGTGAGTGGGTGCTTAACCCTAGTCCAGTTTGCCCACAACTGCAGGGTCTCTGTAACATGGCAGTTTGCCAACTTCTCTGTGTGTCTGCATGCCAGGACTATCTAAGGACCTTGACCAAAATTCAAATTCCTGGGCCCTGTGCCATGCATCTGGATTACCAATAAACTCTTTCATAATATCTTCATAATAACTGAGGCAGGCAGCGGTCCATCACCTCTACCCTGAGAAACATAGGTGTGATGGATAAAGAACTGACCAGGGAGAGCAAATGACTACGTTTATTTCCAATGATGCTACTTACTCAGACCCTGGGCAAGTCAGCTCACTCTTTTGGCTCAAGTTCTTTCATTTGTGATATAAGGGAGGGTGGGCTCTTCCAGCTCTGACATTCCAGAATTCTGTGAGGCAGGATTGCCTAGGACCCTGCCCCCCCTGCCCCCCAGGAAGGAGACTGGTAGAAAGTTTCTGAAGCCTCTAACTAGGCTGAATGGGTCCCCATTAGCTATGTCTGGAGGTCTGTCTCTGGCTGAGAAGGACTGCAGCTCTGGGTTCAATGTCTGCGCCATCAGAGGTTGGGGCTCAGAAGATAGCCCTGCTACAGTCAAGGGGCGTCCAGCTAGCCTTCATTGTGGATGAGGGGAGCTTCACCTTTGATGGTTTCATTCCCGACCTCGAGAATCCCTTCGCCATGTGAGTAAAGTACCCCATCCCTGACCTTGAAAGGAATTCTCTCCCCATGTGAGATGACCCCAGCCTGGTATCTGTGAGCCATGCTGAGACAGCTCTTTGTTTACACCTCTCGCGTTAATTGCCCGGATCTTTAACTTCTCCTAGGCTTCCCCTCTGTTCTTCCTCCAGCATAAAAATTTTAAAGCAGCATGAAGCTACCTCCTTGCCCACTAGACTATTGCATCAATGGACCTGTGGGCCTATGGGAGAATTCAGAGATGCCAGAAGTCAGGAGGGTGGTTTCTGATCCTCTTCTACAGGATTGCAAACTCAGAGAAGGGTTCCATGAATCTCGTGCTGCAATAAACATGACTCCAGGCCACTCTTCAGCTCCTCCAAAGGAGACGAGCATTGGCATCCTCGCAGCTGCTGTCAGCCAGTAAGCAAGTCCTGGCCCTCCTCCTGTGCCAGACTTCCTGTGGAAGTCCTGGAACTTTCCCACTTTAAATCTGAGGACACTAAGCTTCCTGCACCTAAAGTTGGTTTGGGAAACTATGCTTTAAAAAACACTAGAGGAAGAATGGAAGGGGAAACCTTTAAAGGCAGGTTAAAGATGCAGGAGATTAACACAAGAGGTATAAACAAAGAGTTATCTCAGCATGGCTCACAGATACCAGGCTGCGGTCGGTCATCTCAAATGCAGTAAAATTCCTTCCAAGGTGGATGTGGGTGATGGGGGAGGCCACAGGAGAGACAGAGCCACCAGTAGCTTGCAAGGGCTGGAGTCCGAAGAGGATCTATCAGTATATCCATATGGAAAGCAAGGACCAACAGGCAGAAGCTAGGTCAGGCAACCGGAGCAGTCCAAAGTCCAAACATTTACAAATCACAAGTTGGCGCCAGGCACAGTGGCTCACGCCTGTAATCCCAGCACTTTGGGAGGCCGAGGCGGGTGGATCACCTGAGGTCAGGAGTTTGAGACCAGCCTGGCCAACATAGTGAAAACCCATCTCTATGTCTCTACTAAAAATACAAAATTAGCCGGGCATGGTGGCATATGCCTGTAATCCCAGCTACTCAGGAGGCTGAGAAAGGAGAATAGCTTGAACCCTGGAGGTGGAGGTTGCAGTGAGCCCAGATTGTGTCATTGCACTCCAGCCTGGGCAACAAGAGCAAAACTCCATCTCAAAAAAAAAAAAATAGAAAAATTAGCCAAGCATGGTGGCACTTGCCTGTAGTCCCAGCTAGTCAGGAGGCTGAGGCAGAAGAATTGCTTGAACCTGGGAGGCAGAGGTTGCAGTGAGCCAAGATAGTGCCACTGCACTCCAGCCTGGGCAATAGAGCAAGATTCTGTCTTAAGAAAAAGAAAGAAAGAAATCAGAAGTTGGCAATGACTGGTAGAGCTGTTGATGTTCCCTACCCTTCCTGGCAGAAGGACAAAAATAAACAAGAGCTCCTGGCTATGCGTGAGGACAGCAGGATCAGTAACAGCAGAGTTCACCCCTGGCTGGTTTTTCTTAGCAAAGTGGGAAGGAGTGCTATATTCATTCAAATTGTCAGGAGACTGACAACTCTGCCATAGTATGGGATGTGCTACGAGAGTGGACACACAAGATTCTGGAGAGCAGCAGAGGAAGGAAAGAGGGACCCTAATGCGGACTTAGTAGACAGGGAAAGCTCCTGCTGGTGTTTTGAGATCTTCGGAATGTTGAGTTGGTGGAGGTGGCAGGCAAGTGAATGGGAGACCACTTGACCAGCAGTGTTGAAACTTCCTTCTGTCTCCCTCCTTCTCCTCTTCAGACCACTGATCTTTGGCTGGGGTTCACTAAGTCTTGAGGACTCTGTTTGTCTTCCAGACTGGAGCAGACACCACTGCCTAACATGTTTGGAAGCTGGACATTGACCGCGACATTGGAGCAACTGGCACATGAGGTATGGGAGGAAGTATTACATACTCATGGTCAGCTAGGAACAAGAGTGACAGAAAAGTAACCCTCAGAGTAAGAAAAGGACCCCAGTGCTGGCCAGTGCTCTGCCTAGTCTCACCTATTCCCAGCCAGTAGCTGAGCCGACAGAGAGATCTGGCTTGTTCTCTAGGGCTGTTAGTTGTTTCTGAGACCCTAAGACCTGATACACCCTTTGGGAGCTGGTTCCCACTTGTCCCTGAGGCTGCTGAGCAATTGTTCTAACCAATCAGATAAGCTTAGCCAGGCAGTAATTGCCTCCCCAATCCTGACCCTCTAGCAGGGATTGAGCGAACTGAACTTAGAAACACTCCTGATCCCTAAGGGCCCCTGAGGCAGTTCTGAAGTAGAGAGAGATCCAGGTCTCAGGGACTCAGGCTAAAGTAGAGGTGACCTCTGGTGCTGACCCCTCTGACATCCTGCTGACCTTGTTCTTTCCCAGCTTCCCTTCCCAGCCAATATAATCCTGAGCAACCTGTGGCTTGTAAGCAGGTAAAGTATTATCTTTCCTTCCTTCACATCCCTTACCTCAAACCTACCCACCCCCCAGTCCCCTCTCTTTGGCTTAACTGGGCCTACTAATCATCCCTCAGTCACCAGACACTGCGACTCTAAGTGTGTATATTTAAGACATCTCTAAGATGTCTCTCAGTCTTAAAGATCTCCAAAGTTCAGGAAAGTGGGTAATGTTTCCGCTCTTTCCTTCACCCCATTGGTTCTTTCTAACATCTGACCTTGGTCCTTTTGTTTTAGGTATTTGGAGAGAAATTACATAACCAATGCAATGGTCGGGACTACCACGGCACTCGCCATGTTCAATACAGGGGTCAAGGTAACATCCCTGGTTCTATCTAGTAGACAGTGGCTCTATCTACTGGTTCCTCCCTCCTTCTCTGTGTGTCAGCTGCATCCAAGCCTAGCCACGCGGTGACATGGGCCTTTCTGAAATCTTGAAGGGAGTTAGACCATTCCTGTAATTGCCAGTACCACCAGCACAACTCCAGGGGGCACCATTCACCTAGAGTACACTGTGATCTTGAAGTGCTCTGGTAATCTGGTATATAAGTGAATGATGCCTCTGAGTTAATTCCTGGCATAATTTACCAGAGTGTCCAACGTGTCAGCTGCAGTGTTCATCAGAATAATAGCACTGTGTCCTTACATTTGAATGGCATTTTCATTCCCCCAGGATACTTTGTTACTCCATTTGAGCCTTCTAAGAGCCCTATGAGTGTTGCCCCAATGACCAGTTGAGAAAACAGAGGCACAAAGAAGTTTCAACAGCTAATTTGCAACAGCCCACTTCTCCTGTCTCTGACCTAGAGCTTTTTTGCACCGTACAAGTTCAAAGAAAGCTATGCACTTAGGGAGTCTCCTGACCTCCAAGGTAATAGCCTAATTCTGTTCTCCAATTAGTTGGATTCCTCCTGGTCAGGCAAAAAGGTGAGATTTTACAACTGGACCTGGGAAATCACCAATCCCTGCTAGAGAGTCAGGAATGGGGAGGCAATTACTGCCTGGTTGGGCTTATCTGATTGGTTAGAACAATTGCTCAGCAGCCTCAAGGATAAGTGGGAACAAGCTCTCTAAGGTCCTAGGGTCTCAGAAACACACTAACAGCCCTACAGAACAAGCCAGATCCCCAGCCACTGGCTGGGAATAGGTGAGAACAGGCAGACTGCTGGCCAGAGCTAGGATCCTTTCCCTGCTCTGAAGGTTACTTTTCTGTCACTCTTTTCTTCCTATGTGACCAGGAGCATGTGAGAAGTATATGTTCTTCTCATCCCCGTCAAGGATCAAACCTGATGTGAGCTCCATGCTACCACATGAGGGCCAACAGAGCCTCTGGCTGCCCCATCTTCAGTAAGCACTAACATTAACAGCTGCAGAAATGTCCTGGGTGTGCTGGGAAAGAAAGTGCACACAGAAGGCTTCTAACGGCACAGCATGGGGCCAAAGCAGAGATATCTGGGTGATCAGAGAAAGCAGTCTCGCTCTGAACTTCTCTGTGACCCCCTCCAGGACCAAGAAGCACGAAGGTCTCTCTTAAGGTACAGACACCCCTTCAGCTCTGAATATAACCACATGCCACTTAGCTGAGAGAAGACAAGAGGCAGACTAGAAAAGCTAAGCCTTGAGTCCTTAAGTCAAATCAGCCAGCTCTGCCTGAGCTGAGGAAATTAGCATTTCCTGATCAGGGATCAGATGCAGATTTGAGGTTGCTTCAAGCCAGGGTTTTATGGTTCTCTCTCCAGGTGAATGTCATCCCCCACCACAGGCCACAATCAACTTCCGGCTTCACCCTGCACAGACAGTCCAAGGGGTACGTACCATATGTTCCAGACAACTCTTTCAGCATCAGAGAGTTGCAGCCCTCAAGGCCCAGGTTTAGCTGCAGTCCTAGGGCTGGTCCAGCGTCCTATTTGTTCAAACAACATTTTTCAAAGACACGGGTACTTCACTAGGACTGGAGATCTCTGATCTGGGAGAATGTGGGGTCTGAAGTGGAAAATGAGTATGAATAATGATAGCAGTATCTGTAGTAAGACATTATATATGTAACATTATGTATATGTAGTAGGCTTGCTATGTATTTGGCACCTTTCTAAGGTACACGGGTTTTAATCTTCACAACCACCCACCCTAAATCTGCATTTAACTGGTGAAAATTGAGGTACAGAGCACCAGAGCAATCAAATAGCATACCCAAGATTATACATCTAGCAGTCTAGCTCCAGAGTTTGTGCTTTTAGCCGCAACCCTAGACTATGATTATAAAAGTTAGTGGTGAACAAATTGCCATAGGATCACTGCAAAAAAAGAAATTCATGCTACCTCTTAGGGTCAAAAAAGTCTTTTCTGTGACTGGGCGTGGTGACTCTCGCCTGTAATCCCAGCACTTGGGAGGCTGAGGCAGGCGGATTGCCTGAGCTCAGGAGTTCGAGACCACCCTGGTGAATGTGGTGAAATCCTGTCTCTACTAAAAATACAAAAAATTAGCCAGGCGTGGTGGCACGCGCCTGTAATCTCAGCTACTCGAGAGGCTGAGACAGGAGAGTTGCTCGAACCCAGGAGGTGGAGGTTGCAGTGAGCCGAGATCACACCATTGAACTCCAGCCTGCGCAACAGAGGGTGACTTCATCTCAAAAAAAAAAAAAAAAAGTCTTTTCTGACTACTACAGTTTTGAACTGGGCCTTAGAGGACAAACAGAACTTAGCTAGAAGTAAGACATTCATTGTGACTAAGGAGTAGGATACACTGGGGAAAGGTAATAGGAGATGAAAATTGATGGGAAATGGAGTTGTAGTTTAGGGATTTAGGCCTTGTATGCCATGCTGAGGAGTTTGGGCCCTAATCTGTGAAAACTGTGACAGGTGAGAACTTTCAGAGGTTTTCAAACAAATCCTGAGATTTGCTTTTAGAGAGTTAATGCTGGCAGCAATGCAGGGGGGGTGCTCGAGGAGGAGACGGGAAGCTAGTGCAACCTCTTAGGGAGTGCGTATGAAGGTCTGAACTGAGGCCATTGGCATGGGGTGGAGAAGAGGTCTTCTCCCACCAGAGCTGGGAGAGAGGTGGGCTCAGTAGGATGTGGTGTGTCTGTGGTTGTGGAGTGAGAGAAAAGCAGGGTGGCTCCAAGGTTTTTAGCCTGGGTAGTTGACCAAGTAGTTAATGCCTTTGACTAAGATTGGGAATTCAGAAATAACAAGTTCAAAAAGAAATATAATAGTTTAGAAGTGTGAGAAGCTTATATGAAATAGGCAATTACAAGTACCTCAGGTCTGGAGAGAGATATGAACTAGAGATACAAGCTGGAGTGTCATTAACATAATGGGAACCTCTAGAGTCGATAAAAACCCATGGGAAGGATGTGTAGAGAGTTAGGAGGGGAGAAGTGGAGGCCAGAGCCTTGCAATGGTCTGCTACAAGCATCAATTTAAAAATGAATGTATCATTGCAAATCACGATGAGTGCTATGATGAAGAGGAACCTGGTGCTTGTTAGATAATATAACAAGATTACACATCTAGCAGTCTAGTTCCAGAGTTTGTGCTTTTAGCTACAACCCTAGGTCATGATTACAAAAATTAGAGGTGAAGCCGAAGGGTGAGTAGAAGTTACACCGAATGTCTGACATCCACAGTAAATGTCAGCTTATTTAAACATCAGGCTGGGCTAAATGGAATTAAAAAGGTAAACCTGATGCTTCAAAAAAAAAAAAAAAGATCCAAAAGGCAACCCAGTGACTGTCAGATGAGTAAGACCTTCCAGAATATGGTTAGGGGCAGTTCTGTGGTACAGATCATCAAGGGTCAGTAGCACTTGGACTTCCGTGGTCCTTTCTCCTAAGTTCCTCCCCAGGGAGAACTTTATTTGTCCTCATGCAAGGTGAGAGGCACACTCCTCATTGCAGAGCGGGGAGCAGGTTGACATCCTGCCTAGAGCGACCCAGTACTGACGGGGCCTAGGAGGGGGGCGAGTTAGGACCAATGTGAGCCCTGGGTTCTCCCGCTTTTCATCAGGTGCCAACCTTTGTGCTCTCCCTGGGGGCTCATGAGGTCAGGAAATCACTGAATTCCCCTCACTGAGCTTCTTTCCACCAGTTTTTTTCCAGCCTCATTCTGACTCCATGCCCTTTCCAAGGGCTGTTTTCCACCCAGCTGGGGCTTTCATCTCCCCAGGTCCTGGCACTCTTCCCTCCTCTCTATTCCCCTGCCACAGTGGCCTTCCTTCCGGTCGCTCTGATGAAACCCCTGGAACCCCTAGGCCCATCCTGCCCACATACCACTGTAAGGAATGGAAAGCCTCCATATTCAAAAAGCTTGTAGGACTCATTTGTCCTGGTTACTCCTCTCCCTCAGGCCCCAGTTCCATGCATCCAGAACACTCCCTGCTGCACACCCTGTGCACAGAGCCTCAGGCTGGATCCCACAGGAACACAGGCCACCCCAGAGTTCTCCCCCTCCATATTCAACTTCATATGCAGGTAGGTCTCCAGCACCTATCTGTGAGGAACAAGAACCTTCAGAAATGGAAGGGGCTACCATGCGAAAGGAAGGTGTGTCCTGAATGGGCCTGAAGGAGTAGAAAGAAGGCCAGTGGGAGATGTTTAATGGAGTCTCCACTTGAGGGAAAGTTTTGGAATATGCTATCTTGGACAGTAATTGTACTCCTCATGACTAAAAGGGCTCAATAAGAATGTTGAAGAGAAGGTTCTTTCCTTTCTTCCTTCATTTATTCATTCAAGTGTCTGCTGGTAGCTACTGTGGACTAGACATTCTCCTAATCATTTGTGAGAATGGCGAATAAGACAGACAGGATTCCCATTCTAATGGTGCTTACAGTCTAGTGACGAGACAGCAGTAGGCAAGGTGATTTTTTTAAGTGGTAAATACCACAAAGAAAATAATAGGATGCTGTGTCACAGAGGAATTGTGGTGTAGGGTAGAGCAGTGAGCTCCTTTAAATGCAATGGTCGGTGAAGCCCTCTCTGAGGAGGAACAGAGACCTGGCAATTGCATCCAGGCAGTAAGAGCACAAAGTAGGGAGCAGTACCGATGTCCTCTAATTTGGCAGGTAAGAATCTGCTGCGCATTTGTGATGCATCTAGTACTATATTACTTCCTGTGGAGTTTGTTCTATAATCCCAGTGCTTTGGGAGCCTGAGGCCAGAGGATTGCTTGAGGCCAGGAGTTCGAGACCAGCCTGGACAATACAGCAAGACCCTATCTCTACAAATAAAAATAAAAATTCACCAGGCACACTCCTATACTCCCAGCTACTCACAGGAAGCTGAGCCAGGAGGATCTCTTGATTCCAGGAGTTGGAAGTTACAATGAGCTATGATCACACCACTGCATTCCAGCCTGGGTGACAGAGCAAGTCCCTGTCTCAAAAAAGAAGGAGGGGGTTAGATATTACGTGACACCATATTTGAGTTCATTATAAGGAAGGCATTTATAACTGAACTGCTCAAAAATCGAATGGTATATAGCATGCAGTGACGAGCTTTCTGCCACTGGAAATATTCCAGCAGATGGCAAGACAACCTGTTGTGAGTTTTCTGGTAAGCAGCCTTACAGCAGGCCAGAAGCTGGACTTGCTAACTCTAAAGACCTTGCCTGTTTCTAAGTATCCATTGTCCTTGCCTTTAGCAGTGATACCTCACTTACAGGAAAATATCTCTACACATAAAACAGAACGTAATGTTGTGGGAATGCACTGTAAGAACTATAGGAGATCAGAGAAATGAGAGATCTATGTGCTCTAAAGTCACCTTTGAGGTCTCTCACCATTGACAAGTCCCGCTTCCTAGTCCCATTCTTGTACCTCTGATTCTTGCCCAAGAATTCTATTCTAAACAAGCAAATAACAGCTAACATTTTTTGAGTGCTTACCATGTGCCAGGCACTGCCCTAAGCACATTACACATGTTAACTCTAGTAAAGGTCACCACCACTTAGGAGGTAGGTGCTACCATCATCTACATATTAACAGATGGGCAGCCTGAGGCACAGAGAAGTTAAGAGCTTGTCCAAAGTCACACAATGGTGAGTGACTGTCCGAGGCACAAAGTTGGTTGTCACATCTCAATTTTTGTGCCTGCTCCTCTCCTTGCTCCAATAATCTGTTGCCTCTTCTTCGTCAGTTTCATATCCTTCCTTGAAACTCAAGCTAAACATTCATACCACTAAGGAGTCCATCTCAGATGAACACCTCCTCTCACGTTCTAGTCCACACCACCTCAAGCTGTATGTACTTAGGAAGCAGTAAAGCATTGTTCCTGTGAAGTCAGACAGAAACCCAACCTGACGATACTAACTATATAACCCACGGTGGTTGTTAAGCAAAGCAACGCCTATTCTTATTTTTATTGGTTCACATCTTTTGAATTTTATTTATCCAAGATTTATTGCATGCCTTTTACGTGCTTGCTACTGGAAATGCGGAAATGAGATAGACACAGTCCGTGCCCTTGAGTCAGGGCCTGGCCTCGCAGCTAGTGGGAAACCTGAGCTCTTGCAGCCTCTTACTGCAGGGCTCCCATCTGCATGCCTTCTTCAATTTCTAAGGACAGAACCTCTAAGGAATTTGGGGTAGTGGGCACTGTCGCAACCCACCTCATGGAGGCTGACTTCAGAAACTTGCCAATGGGCTGAGAATATGTCAAGACTGTGCGTTAATTCTTGTATTAGAATATTTGTATTGTAAGTGCTAGAGGGAAAACATGCTCTGAGAAATGAGAATATACTTTGATGAACCCCTTCGCCCATTCAACAGCAGGGTATTTGTTTTGATTCAAATCATGGTTTCTAACCCAGAAGTGGGAACCTTCACTTCCTCTCCAGACTCAGCTCCTAACATTCCTCTGGCATATAAGAGGTACCCTTGGGGCCGGGCATGGTGACTCATGCCTGTAATCCTAGCATTTTGTGAGACTGATGCTGGCGGATCACCTGAGGTCAGGAGTTTCAAGACCAGCCTGACTAACATGACAAAACCCTGTCTCTACTAAAAATACAAAAATTAGCTACACATGGTGACACATGCTTATAATCCCGGCTACTTGGGAGGCTGAGGCAGGAGAATTGCTTAAACCCAGGAGGCAGAGATTACAATGAGCCGAGATGGCACCATTGCACTCCAACCTGGGCTACAGAGCGAGACTCTGTCTCCAGAAAAAAAAAAAAAAAAAAAGGCATTCTTGGCCAGGCATGATGGCTTATGCCTGGAATCCCAAAACTTTGGAAAGCCAAGGCAGGCAGATCACTTGAGGTCAGGAGTTTGAGACCAGCCTGACCAGCATGGTGAAACCCTGTCTTTACTAAAAATACAAAAATTAGCCAGGCATGGTGGCACATGCCTGTAATCCCAGCTACTCAGGAGGCTGAGGCAGGAGAATCACTTGAACCTGGGAGGTGGAGGTTGCAGTGAGCTGAGATCACGCCATTACACTCCAGTCTGAGCAACAGAGTAAGATCCTGTCTCAAAAAAAAAAAGTTACTCTTAAGATAATGTCCCTCATTCAGGTGATCTGCAGCTATGGGACAACATTTTTCTAGAACAGAGGCAGTTTTAAAGTAACTACTGAACAAATGGGTTGGGACTAGTGCTGGGGCTTTGGAGAAGGGGAGATCCCTCTAAGCCAGTCTCCTGGTCCATCCCTACATGGCTGTATGTGACCTAATCCTCAGGGTCTGGTCTACTTCCTGACTGGGGCCAGGAATTTTTCTGGATTCACTCTAGTCATTTCAGACTGAATTTTCTAGAAGTTTCCTCAGGTGCCTTCCTGAGGAAAGGAGGCAAAGAGAGAAAACTTGAATGCCAGTATCACAACTTCTGACTTTTTGTATGTGTTGAGCTCATCTTCCTGGCTCCGGTACGGCTGGTTACAAACAGGAAGCCGGAATGCCCAGAGAAAGGAAAGAAAAGTGTGTGACCCTTTTATCATCTGTCTGAGACTCTGATGCTGAAATCAGGTCATCACATCTATCCCCCAGCCTCGGGATGATTGACATTCGGCTGTCTCTTCAACACTCATCCAGCCTGTGGCTCACCATCCAAGGGGAAACATGCACAACATCCTGATTTTCCAATTCCCCACCTGATTCATGACTGTAAGACAAGTCTCCCAGTGCATTTTACCTAAATCTATCAAGCTGTAGATTGCCCAGCTCTTACATCACCTATAGCCAGTCAGCTGAAATTGAAGTCCCAGTGCTTAAAACAATGAGTCCTCTCTATAAACCCCCGGGCTCTGCCTTGCTGGAGAGAACTCAGGATATTTAAGTTAATATTGTACTTGTATAGCAAATCAATGAGAATCGAACCCCCTTTGTTTCTACCCTGGAGGTCCCAGAACTCACCAAGAAGACTGTGGCTAATGACAGAGTCCAGTTCCATGTGTTGAGTACCTTTGACCCCCTCCCCATCAGCCCTTATGATGACAAGGCCTTGGGCTACCAGCTGCTCCGCCAGACCATACAGTCTGTCTTCCCGGAAGTCAATACTATCACCCCAGGTAATGACTTCATCAGCTATGGGTGGAGGGAGGAGGGGGCTGGAACTGTTTCCTATCCAGTGTCTACTTCCCCACCCCCACCCCAGATGTTCAGCCTGGAAACAGCTGGCTGCTTCCCCTCCTGATGGGACTGGAACTGTATTTTCCCCTCAGAGTGGAAGTGAGAACGAAAACAGGAAAGGAGCAGAAACAATAAATTAGGTCAGTCAAGCCTCGGTCCTTGCCTAACCTAGGCCAGCCACTCTGGCATAGAGGGGAGGATTGGCTTAGACTGCTGCCTCCTCTCTAGGGGCCGCAGAAGGGGCCCAGATCTTCCCATTGTCTGGTTGTGATCCATTCTAGGATAACAACTCAGCAGCAGAGCTCAGAATCCTCAGCTCAGAAAAGCCTCCCAGCCCATACCCTTTGCCTTAACCTAATTTATGCCTCACAGATGAGACCAATCCCAGCACCACCCCTCTGTACCCCTTCCACAGCCTTCTAGCACACCATCCAAATCTATGCTTTGCACACAGTTATTCTCCAATCTAAGAAGCCTCCAGGGAACTATTAAAATACAGATTACCTGGACCCACAGCAAAGATTTGGATTAACCAAATCTGCAAGGGACCCTGTAATTTGCCTTTTTCACAAATACTCTCAGGTGATTCTAACACAAGGTGATGACTGACCACAGTTTGAGAATCTCTGGTAAATGATTGTTGCTCTAATATTAAGATATTGCTCGATAATAATTATATTGCTTAATTATTAATGCTCTAATATTAAGGCCTGTGTCTAGTTTTCTCTTCTCTTGGTTTAATCAGAGATTCCTCCAAACATCCAGGAACCCAGCCCTCACAGTCCCAGATTCTCCTCTCTTGGCCCTCAAAGGCTACCTACTCTACTCTCTCTCTCTTCTGGAGCACTTCCTGTAATCCACCAACTGGCCAGGCTTTAACAGAAAAAAGATAGGCAGAAATCAACCACAAAGCAAGGAACTGTGAAGGGCCTGGTGTCCATTTGAAACCAGGAGTGGAAAATGGGACAAAACACAAATCACCATCTCAAATAACCCACACACTTGAACTGATGCTCCAGGTGTCTTTTCCCAAAGAACACAGCTATGGGCACAAGTCCCAGCCCCTGCTAGGTGACCTGCTACCACCTCAGAAGAGTGTCCTGGCACTTTCCAGACCTTAGGTTTGACTCTAGGAAGACAGAGTCACCCTTCAGAGAATGAGAATAACAGGAATTTGTTTTCCAATTCAAGAGGATTGCATTTTATGACAGTAAAGTTCTCCCGAGGGTATTTATTTAGAGTGATACAGAATAAAGGTCAAGTAATAAAGAAGTGCTATCTAGATTCTGGTTTCTTAAATAGCAAATGGTCATGGCCTTGGGTATGAAATGAACATATTGGCCTCCCTGCTCGCCATGGGGAGAGGACACTTCCAAGGGCATTGGTAAGCCATCCTTTGAATGGTCCATCCAAGGGATGGCTCACCAACACCCTTGGAGAATCCATGTTCCTAGCTGAAATAAATGGTGCTTTTGGTAAGGATAGTTATAGGCTTTCAAGAGAGCCCGAACCTTGCTCTGTAAAGATCTAGTAGTCCTAATTTTCCAGCCAGGCCACCAAGCTGCCACTTGCTTGGTTTGGTTGCTCATGTAAAGCCCCTTTCCTGTTGATCCTCCCTCTCTAGGTACCTGTATCGGCAACACAGACAGCCGACACTTTACAAACCTCACCACTGGCATCTACAGGTTCAGTGCCATCCACCTACAGCCTGAAGGCTTCAGAAGGTGAGTGGAACAGGTTTGAGCAGCACATGGGAAAAGAGAAATACACTTGACATGTCCCTTTCCCACCCCATGCTCCTGACAGTTCACAGGATCAGGGTAAAGCCGGGATTTGGCAAAGCGAAATGGAGACAGTTAAAACCTAACTCATCTACCATCCTCATTGCCAGAGTCTTGCCACCCCCTAGAATTTATGGAAATTGGCCCCTCTTTTACAAAGAAGGAGATAATTGGGTGATTGGGGAGAACCTGGTGGAATTGGCACCCTTGGGTGCTAATCCGAGCTCTTCCTCTCTTTGGGAGAGGGCTTATGCTCTGGACCCCATCTTCTTCACTTACATGAGGTCAAAGGTGGGTGTGTGCTTTGACTTCTCAGAAGAAAGCACTGTGGAAATCCAAAACGTGACCACCAATTTTAACTGCTCTGTGTGAATTACTATTTTTGTGGGTTCTTCAGCAAAGTTTTAATCCTGGGGCGTGGGAGGATGATTTCCATTTGCCTCTCTGCTGCTTACCACATCCAGACCTGATTTCCCCATCCTAAGTGTTCTGTAGACACAGCAAAACTATTTGAATAGGATCTTAAGAACAGCTTTCAGGATTTTGTTTTTAACTGGGAGGTAAGTAGGTATCCTGTGTTTCCTTTCGTCTTTGAGATTACATGTATAGTTTGGTCCTTGTTTATTTTGTTTGGCTCTGTTCCACTGCGGGGAGGCAGGTTGGTGGATGTGAGGTCTGATAGTAAAGTTCCCCAGGTGCAACAGAAAAATGGGTAGGTACCCTGGACAGTTACCTTCCCTACCCTCTCTTAACCCTAGAAAGTGGGAGAGTAGGGAACTTGCTTAGAGATAAGTCTAGCTAGGCACTCTGTCCTAAGAGAAAGAGAATTGGAAAGACAGTTCTTGGCCAAGTGTGGTAACTCACACATATAATCCCAATACTTTGGAAGGCCGAGGCAAGAGGATCGCTTGAGCTTAGACGTTTGAGACCAGCCTGGGCAACATAATGAGACTCCATCTCTTCAAGAAAAAAATTCAGAAATAAAAAAAAATTAGCCAGACACCTGTGGTCCTAGCTACTCAGGAGCTGAGCGGGGAGGAGCACTTGAACCAGAAGGTTGAGGCTGTATGGGTAACACCCCCCATGGGCACGGAGGAAGGATAGCTGTGCAGACCCCAGGCACAATTAGTGCCTGAAGTATAACTCACTGCTTACTTATATCTAACATATATGTATGTGTGTGTATATATATATATATAATCATACTTAGTTCCATATAATCTTTCTATATAATCATACAGTTATTGTAGTCGGAGCTGTACTGACACATTTAGTGCTGATTTATATAATCCTTCCATATAACCATATAGTAGTTTATAGTAGGAGGAATGCCTAGAGCAGTCACAGAACAGAAACAGTCCATGGGAAAACAGCCAGACCAGGACAAGAACCAAAGACCCGGGCGGTGGCATCCCTGCCTGAAAGAGCATATGCTGTATGGTAAGCTTGGAGCAAGAGCCTCTCCTCCTGATAAAGGAGTTGTAGTACCTTGCATCCAGTTCCTGTGCAAAGTAGGCCTCAGGCCTGAGATCCTGGAAATAACCAAGGGAGAAGAACCCCTCTGGTGTGCCCAGTCACGGCGGCTGTACACCCTGTCAGTCTTTTCTCGCTTCTGTGCTAGCTCAAATCAACCTCCCATAAATATCTTAAGAGAAGAGCACAAGTCTGTCAGCTCCCACTGCAAGGCTGCAGTGAGCTGTGACTACACCACTGCACTCTAGCCTGGGCTACAAAGTGAGAACCTGTCTCAAGAAAATAAGATAATTCTCCTGGAGGACAAATGATTGAATGGATTTCAGAGCAGGAGATGATTTTGGACTCCCCAGGAGTTTATTCTTTGTTCTTTGTCACAACCATGGATGGATCCCTGAGAAATGACCAGCATGTCATATGAAACCTCAGATGGCCCCTCCCTTGCCTGTTTCCTAGCCCTGGAGGGCCAGTAGTTTCCGGGTTGGCGAGGGAAGTAAGGAAAGTGCTTTGCAATAACACTCGTGCTGTGGCACTTGGCCCTTCCTTCCTTCCCCAAATGTACCTTACTTTCCTCAGCATCCATGGAATCAACGAGAAAATCTCAGTCCAAGCCTATGAGAACCAAGTGAAATTCTTCTTTGAGTTGATCCAGAATGCTGACACAGATAAGGAGCCAGTTTCTCACCAGCACTAACTGTGAGGTCAAGGGGCCCACTGGGATAGGCATGCTAAACCCTGGGCCGGGACTAACCCAAGGGGGTAAACCCAGTGTTGATGAAACTTTTGATCAAAATCACATTATACAACATTGCTCATCTGTCTTGCTCACTCTTAAACTCACCCAAGAACAAGGCCAAGGGTAAGGTAAAGTCAGCAGAAATCTGGCTTCTCCCTTTATCCCGACACCTGCATCCCTTGATCCACTGGCATTTGCTGCCCTCTTGTCTATTATCTGTCTTACACTGGTTGTTTCACTGCTTCACCCTCCAGGCTTGACTTAACAAATGTAGATTTGAAAAAATCTAACCAGGTGTTGCCTGATCGGAGTCTTTAATTTAGGGCACTCTTGCTGGGATGCTTTCTCCAGGGCTTATATATTTCTTGCTAGAACTTTCTTTCCCCTTGTATTCGCCTCTCTTCTTGGACTCGTGAGCTGTCTCTTCATCTCTCCTCTCTCCCCTGCATCTCTCCCCCTACTCTTCAATTTATTCTACTTCTGGAGCTGGGCTTACCCAAACTGTGATACTACCATGATTGTCACCACAGTTGGTCAAATAAAGTGATCTATGCCTCACCAGCTGATCACTGAGGGGTGGAACTGAGGCGGGGGCTTTGGAGGAACCCCAAACCTCCTGGTTCTGGAGGCCAGAGACTGGAAAAGAAAGCCTGTGTGTCCTTGGGCTCCTCCCAAGGGCTCCCTGGGCTTTGTTCCTTCCCTGCCCTGTTCCTGCCACCTGCTGCTACTGTCTCACCCCAGGAGGCACTAATCTGTGGAAACATTTCCCTGGCACATCCCATGGGCTGAGCTCCCAAGGGAAGGGCTCTCGGTGGGGCTCAGGACCAGCAGGGCCGTGGCCCTGGCATCATGTCCTGGTTCAGACAGATCAAGGGAAAGTGGAGGGCATTAGGGTGGAAGAGGAGGGGGAGGCTGGCTTGAAAGGCTCTGCCCTGTCTGGTGGGGTATGAGGAGGCACAAACTAGCCTCCACTGGGGACGGCAGAATTCCTGTCTTTTTTCTCTAGGCTCCAACTCTGTGCATATTTGAATCTGCTCAGTAGCTGCCAGGTGGGGGGCATTGGAAGGCAGCATTTCTTGGCTCAAAGCTGGGAGCTGTGCTTTGTGGATCACAAGAGAGTCTGGCTCGCGGAGGAAACACAAGGGGAGCTGGGACATGAGAGACACCCTCTTCTTTTCCTCACCAGACAAGGATCTTCCATGTCCTCCCGGGCTTTGACAGCAGTGGGCCCTTTTCCTCTCCTCCTAGCCCATTTTGTCCTCAACCCTCAGTCTTTCACCTCCCTCCCTGGAGGTGTGGTATTCCCCGGAGCTCCAGCTTCATGGAAAGTGTTGGAAACACAGTGTGGGGATTATTCCAGAGTTTTTGCTACTCCCCCTGAGATTCACATTCCTTCTTTTGCCCTCCCTTTTTTGGCCAATTCAGTACTTATTCAGCCTTTGTTAGAGAGCAAGCTGAAGAACAAAAATAATTCTTCACATTTGTACAGAGCTGAACAGAATGCTTTCCTACATCTTATCTCACCAGAGCCCCACAATGACCCTGCGAAGAAGGCATTGTGACCCCTTCTTACACAGAAGGAATTGGTTCTCAGAGAGGTTATACATTCAGCTGCGGGCAGTCAGCTCAAACCCATGTCACCTGGCTGCAAACTCACTGTTACTCTGCAATCCCATGTTACCAACAGAATCTACTTCCCATCAATTATCTTATTTACTCCTAGCAACAACTCTAAGGTGTTACTGTTCATTTTACAGATGAGGCAACTGAGATTCTTAGGTTAAGTAACTTGTCCAAGGTCATGCAGATGCCAGGAGCAGAGTCTATCTGAATCCAAAGCCTGTGCTAAAAGTACTGAAGAGGAAACTGAGACTCAGAAAGTCACTTGATAGAGTTCTTAAGGGGCAGCCCCAGCACTGAAATGCAGGTCGAAAATCCCCAAGTTGAGTGCTTCTTCAACTGCACTGTGCTGCCTACCCCAAGAACCTGTGGTGTGGGGCTCACTCATTCCGATCCAGAGAGATGTCAAGACAAAGGCTATTCTGCTATTGGACTTGCTTCTTAGCTCTAGCTCTCTGTGTTCCTCTGGCTGACCTCCCCCTATTCACACCTCTTCTGCTGTCTGCCAGCATTTCTTACCAGCCGCAGCCCCAGCTTCTGGGTTCAGCTCTTTTCCCTTTTCTTTGAGTTTGGAACAACCAGGTCTCTAATGATCATGGAGCAACTGGGGGAAGAGTGAACCGCAGACTCTGTCCTCATCTAGTCTGATGACCCTCTTCCAGCTGTAGAAAATACGCCCCAGAGTGTGTAGGAAGCCCATGAGAGGGAGCTGCTACAAATCCTGGCTCCGCAAACACAGACGATACAGCCCAGTGGCCCCTGAGAGCTTCTGAAGAGAGCAGCTCAAAGTGCCTGGCCTGGCTGGAGCAACAGGAGCCTCCAGACCAGTTGGGGCTTGGTGCAGTAGCTCTTGCCTGCAATCCCAGCACTTTGGAAGGTGGAGGCAGGAGGATCGCTTGAGACCAGCAGTTTGAGACTGACTAGCCTGGGCAATAGAGTGAGACCATCATCTCAAAAAACAAATAAAAAGACTCTGGATGGGATGAGGCAACAAATCAGTGACTTTCCTCCACCCCATCCCCATCCATCTACCATTCCCAAATCCCCCAGTGAAAGAGCTCCAACAGATAATCATAGGTACATCCTACACCCCTCTCAAGGACTTAGCTCAAGCTTTTTATACCTCACTACTTAAAGCAAGAAGGAAGACAAAATATTCATAAGCAAAGAGAATGGGAAAAGAGAGGAGTAAAGTTTGGCTGGAATCCCTTGATTGTGAATCTGGGTTGCTAAAAACATGGCCATCCTAAACCCAGTATTCCTTTTATTTAAGGGAGATAATAGGAGACAAAGTTCCTACTTGAGAGCTGAACGTTTCATTAAATGTTTTTTTGAAAATTGAAATCTAATCAAAGAGCGTTGTTTTTTGTTTTGTTTTTTTCTTGAGATGGGGTTCTGTCACTCAGGATGGAGTGCAGTGATGAGATCACGGCTCACTACAGTCTCAATTTTGCAGACTTAAGAGATCCTCCCACCTCAGCCTCCTGCATACTAGGACCACAGGTGCATGCCACCATAGCTGGCTAATTTTTTTCTATTTTTTCGTAGAGACAGGGTCTCCCTGTGTTGCTGAGGCTGGTTTCAAACTCCTGGGCTCAAGCAATCCTCCCACTTCGGGCCTCCCAAAGTGCTGGGATTACAGGTGTTAGCCACTGCACCTGGCCTAATTAAATATTTTTATAAAAACAAACCTACTTGCAATTCTAGTATTCAGTGTCCATCTAATGTCAACAAAAAGAATCAATATCATGTTTTACATGTTGTATCTGGAGATACAAATATAAAAATTTAAGAATAATATAAATTATTTAATACTACAAAATGTTCCCTAGCAACCACGTGTAATGTTGCAAACACTACACTATTCATGGGTACCTCCAGGACCAGAAATTGGAACTCAAAGCAGAGCAAGAAAATGGACACTTAGCACTACTGGTAAATAATATGTCATGTAAGAATCTACTACCCAGCCGGGCTCAGTGGTTTAAGCCTATAATCCCAGCACTTTGGGAGGCCGAGGCAGGTGGATCACCTGAGGTCAGGAGTTCAGGACCAGCCTGGCCAAGATGGCAAAACCCCATCTCTACCAAAAATACAAAAATTAGCGGGCGTGATGGCAGGCACCTGTAATCCCAGCTACTTGGGAGGCTGAGGCAGGATAATCACTTGAATGGGGGATTTCAGTGAGCTGAGATGATGCCACTGTACTCCAGCCTAGGCAACAGAGCAAGACTATGTCTCAAAAAAAAAAAAAAAAAAAGAAAAAGGAAAGAAAGAAAGAATCCACTACAGGCTGTGTGCAGTGGCTCATGCCTGTAATTCCAGCACTTTGAGGGGTTGAGGCAGCTGGATTACTTGAAGTCAGGATTTGAGACCAGCTGACCAACATGGTGAAACCCCATCTCTACCAAAAATAGAAAAATTAGCCAGGCATGGTGGTGCGCACCTGTAATCCCAGCTACTCAGGAGGCTGAGGCATGAGAATCACTTGAACCTGGGAGGCAGAGATTGCAATGTGCCAAGATCGCGCCACTGCACCCCAGCCTGGGCAATAGAGCAAGACTCCGTCTCAAAAAAAAGAGAATCAACTACAACCATGCTATCTAAGAGGAAGGACTTGACAAGTTAATTTTCTTTTCTCTTAGCTAAGCACTTTGATGGCTCAACTCCAGCCTGTACTCCAAAACCATGGCGGCCTCCAAAGTTCACGGTGATGCAACCCACAAGCCTTCAGGGCATTCACACAGTTACCTTTTTTTCTAAAGACATAAAGTGTTTTTACTTAGGTAGCACATATACTAAAATTGGAACAATTTCCAATTAAAACAACACAATTGCACAAGGATAACACAAATGAAGCTCTCCATATTGTTAGCGTATACCTATTTCAAAACATCATGTACATAATAAATACATACAGTGTTTATCAAATAAATAAGACAGAGCAAGCTATATAAAGAAGTGATCCCCTGGGTCCTGAGCTGTATTAGACTCAGGAGTGTGTGTTCAGTGTTACTGGTTGTTCTGTGCCAAGGCTGAGCACAGAGTCTCAAGGGACAGAAACAGCTCTGTGTTTTTAATGAATTTATTTCCTTTGTGGTTATACTATATGATGCCTTCTAAAGCATTAAGTTCAGGGCAGGGGGCTTTCTTGCCTAAGTCTGAGAGGTAAGGTGTTATTTTATATACCACATGGTGCCTGGTCTGGAAAATCAAGAAGGCCTCTGTGGTGAGGAAGTCATGATTTAAGCTGGACTTCAAGGTTGAGTAAGAGTTAGCTAGGCAAAGCACAGAAGGGGAAAAAATATTTGCCAACTTTACATCCAACAAAGGTCTATATCCAGAATCTATAAGGAGCTGAAACAATTGAATAAGCAAAAAACACAAATAACCCCATTAAAAATGGGCAAAAGACATGAACAGGCACTTCTCAAAAGAGGACAAAGCAGTCAAAAAACATGGAAAAATGCTCTACATCACTAATCATCAGAGAAATGTAAATCAAAACCACAATGTGATACCATCTCACACCAATCAGAATAGCAGTAATTAAAAAGTTAAAGAGAAAAAAAAAACAGATGTTGGTGAGGCTGCAGAGAAGGGAACACTTACACACCATTGGTGGGAATGTAAATTAGTTCAGCCACTGTGGAAAGCAGTTTGGAGATTTCTCAAAGAACTTAAAACAGAACTACAATTTGACCCAGCAATCCTATTACTGGATATACATCCAAAATAAAACATGTCATTCTGCCAAATAGACACATGCACTCACATGTTCATCAGCAGCACTATTCACAATAGCAAAGACACAGAATCAACCTAGGTGCCCATCAGTGATGGTTTAGATAAATAGAATGTACATATACACCATGTAATACTATGCAGCCATAAAAAAGAGCAAAATTGTTTCCTTTGCAGCAACGTGGATGAGGCAGAGG